ATATCTGCACTTAATGTGTATCATTATTATTATTTATTTTCTTTTTTCTGAAACAATTATTATGGCCGAGCAGTAGTAACAAGCTATTATTATCCTAATGGCAGTGTGCTGAAGCTATTGAGGCAGGACGTGAAAAGAGTAACAGTGAGGGAGAAGTGCAGGGATGAAGAACTATCATGACGTTGTGCGCTCAACGAATCTCTCACGAAAAGATCGAGACATGGAATTATTTTTTCAAAGTGTCCTCGAACACATTCCAAAGGATTTCTTCATCAGTGCTGTCGTTGTGAGCCGCTAGATCTATACTACTTACTTACGGCTGTCATTGTTGATAAACGACTGACTGTCTCTGGCTGGCTGATTTATTTTTTTAAAAACCCATTCTCCATCAGCTTGACAAGACTGACTTGTGTTTCGTAACGTTTGGTTGGCTTCGTTCGCTTCCTTTTGGTTGTTGGGTTGTTGTTTTTTAGCAGCACTTGGTTGGCTTTTGTTGGTCTCTTGATTTGGTGTTGCTGTTGTTGCTGTTGTTGTTTTTAGGGGTGTCAGGAATTTGTTTGGGATTAATTTTTTTTCCCGTCATATCCGGCTCACAGGATTTGTTGGTGCAGTTTTGTTTTTTGTTTGGTCTCCTTTTGTTTTGTTTTTTAGGGGGTTTATTTTTTTTTTGGTAAGGTGCTTTAGAAAGCAAACGCATAATTTGGGATAATGATGATTTCTTCTTGTTCTTTGTTGTTGCTGAATTACTGAGGGAAGAATGTAGATCTAGGGTGTTTACAAGTTGTGAGCATATATTTATATATATTTGTGAGCGTTCATTTGTCGAAGCCACCATCCCGTGCGTTCACAAGTTGTCTTGACCACGCTTTTGTGCGTTCGTAGTGGTCCTGACCGTCACCTTCTACGTTCATTAGTGGTGGTGGTGGTGGTGTCGCGAAAAATTTCACCACTGTGGTATTATTCTTTGTGGTGGTGCTGCCGCGTTTTTCACCTTGGTGTGTTGCAGCGCACTCACGTGTCAGTCAGTGTGTAGTAGTGTGTTGGCGAGAGTAAAGTGTGCTGGCAAAGGAACTTTCTGTGAACAGTACACGTAAACTGAGTGCTCAACATGAATTGCCTGAGTGCAGGGGGTGGCGATGAGGAGGTATGCACTTCGCAACGCGAGTTTCCCGAGTTGTTGTTCGTGTGTGTGTGTGTGTGTGTGTGTGTGTGTGTGTGTGTGT